TAGAGCTTTTTCGACCTATGCTCCAATTCTGTGGAACTCATTGCCTCCATACATTAGAGCAACGTCGGAGTGCGACCTTTTGTAAAGGCACTCAAGACTTGGCTGTTTGGCTGTGCATTTAAGTAAAGTGATCAGATCTAATTTGCCAAATAGTCACTGTTGAATGTTTTATGTGGAATGTTTTTATATTGTGTAAATGCTATTTTAGATTGTAAGTCGCTTGGAGCACCTTGGTGGAGAGCGACTAATTAAGAAATAAAGTGAAGTGGAGAAATCTCTAGGTCTTCCAGCATTACTGAATGAATTGATTACAGAACCACAAAATCTGAATAGTCAAATTCACAAATGTCAGAATTGAAATGCGGAGGAATGGCTGTATATTCTTTCTGTTTTCTTCCCCAGCTGGTGGTGGGTGACCTGGGTTCGACAGGGCATGAGATGAAGCTGAAGGTGTATCAAGGCATGGGCCTCCTGAGCGAGAATGCCCTGCCTGACCTGCCGGTTAGCGTCACCACCTTCCTGATGGAGCAACACGAGCCCCGCATGCCTGCCGTAGCCGTGGCCTCTGGGCCCTTCATCTACGTCTACAAGAACCTACGTCCCTACTTCAAGTTTACATTGCCCTCCCTGGAACTTAACCCCATGGAGAAGAGTGTTTGGGACCAGGCTAAAGAGGTAAGGAAGCCAATATAAACATTATACAGAAACTAAGAAAATTGTGCGCATATTTAAGGATCTACCACAGTGGGTCTCAATCTTGCTAATGCCGTGACCCCTTAATACAGTCCCTCATATTGTGGTGACCCCCAACCATAACATTGTTTTTGTTGCTACTTCATAACAGTCATTTTACTACTGTTATAAATCATAATGTAAATATCAGATATGCAAGATGTATTTTCATTCACTGGACCAAATTGGGCACAAATACCCAATGCACCCACATGTAAATGCTGGTGGGGTTGGGGGAGGACTGATTTTGTAATTTGGGAGTTGTAGTTGCTGGGATTTATAGTTCACATATAATCAAAGAGCGTTCTGAACTCCACCAATTATGTAATTGAACCAATCTTGGCACACACAACTCCCATGACCAACAGAAAATACTGGCAGGGTTTGGTGGGCACTGACCCTTGAGTTTTGGAGTTGTAGTTCACCTACATCCAGAGAGCACTGTAGACTCAAGCAATGATGGATCTGGACCAAACTTGTCACGAATGCTCAATATTTCCAAATGTGAACACTGGTTGAGTCTGGGGAAAATAGACCTTGACTTTTGGGAGTTGTAGTTGCTGGGATTTATAGTTCACTACAATCAAAG